AAATTATTATTTATTTAATATTTCATGAAAAATGTTACTGCGCGCAACATTTCAAAACTTTACAAAAAGATAGTTCATACTTCAGCCGCTAGTTCGTTTATTTACCGCTATGCGACGCGCGATGCGCCCCATCTCGTATTTGAGTTTCAGTCATGAGAAGTATTTTATTTATTTATTTGTGTTTAGTCCTTGCCTTTCGGCTTAGGACGAACTTCCGGTTACAAAATTTTTCCATCCACTCTGCGCTTGTATATAAATTTTAATTTGCCTTTAATACAATACACTGAAACTCGATTAAAACTAAAGTTAAAATTCAAATTCAAATTGAAACTGAGCCTGAACTTAAATACAATTCAAAATAAAATAAAATATAGACTACCCTTATAATTAGTTTAATTAAAAATTATTCGATTTACGTTTTGTGTCTGATGTCATTTTAATCTCATTAATCCATTAAAATTATTATCAAACTAATAAAATAGAAGTAAAAATATTTCTTAAAATAAGAATCGAAGTGACAGAAATATAAATTATAAATTATCGTTTTGTTGCGAACAATAATTATTTTTCTATCGATACTTAAAGTAAAAATATTTTGTGCTTTATCGTACGATTTTTTTATTATTTAAATATAGTTTGGATTGAGAACACGCAATTGATTAAACAATCGAACCGCAGGATCGAGTAATTAACATAACGATAAGCTCTGTGATATATTAATCGTTTATTAAATAATTGATCTATAATTTAAAATATTTGTATAAATTAATATTTCGCTTGTATACATACGTCATAGTATGTAAAATATTTTCGGCTACGAATTTTCAATAACATGGTATTCGGCGACGTAAACATTAGCGCGCTATTGTTTACGTATTACGATTCAATGGCCTTATCATTCGCACGACGACACTCGAACAGTAATATAGTAGTGCGAGACGCTCTGTTAAATTCCTTTTCTAAACGCGATCGCGATAAGTATCAGGAATTAATTTGATATAATTAATAATTAATTCTCTCTCTTTCTTTTACTCTTTAGGCAACAATTATTTAAAAGTATTTAAAATTAAATATATTCCGTCCGATATTTTTTCGTTCGACTTTTCGACGATCTAAATAAGATTCGGATTGATAACGCGCAATGAAATAGTTAAATCACAGATCCGAACAATTAACATAACGTTAAGCTCCGCGATATATTAATCGTTTATTAAATTATCGATCTATAATTTAAAATATTTGTATAATATAATATTCCGCTTATACATACGTCATAGTACGGGAAATATTTCAGCAGCAAATTATCAATAACATTGTATTCGGCTTTGGCGGGGTAAACATTAGCGCGTTATTGTTACGACTTACGGCCTTATCATCTTATCATTCACACGGCGACACTCGAACAGAAATGTAATAGTGAGAGACGCTCCGTCAAATTCCTTTTCTAAACGCGATCGCGATAAGTATCAGGAATTAATTTGATATAATTAATAATTAATTCTCTCTCTTTCTTTTACTCTTTAGGCAACAATTATTTAAAAGTATTTAAAATTAAATATATTTCGTCCAATATTTTTTCGTTCGACTTTTCGACGATCTAAATAAGATTCGGATTGAGAACGCGCAATGAAATAGTTAAATCACAGATCCGAACAATTAACATAACGTTAAGCTCCGCGATATATTAATCGTTTATTAAATTATCGATCTATAATTTAAAATATTTGTATAATTTAACATTCCGTTTGTATATACGTCATAGTACGCAAAATATTTTCGGCCGCGAATTATTAATAACATATGATATTCGATCTTGGCGGCGTAAACAATAGCGCGCTATTGTTTATATGTTATTGTTTATATAGCCTTGTTATTATTCGCACGACGACACTTGAATAGTATTGTAGTGGGAAAGACGCTCCGTCGAATTATTTTCCTAAACGCGGTTGCGACAAATATTAAAATATAATTTGCTACAATCTACATTATATTTAAAAATCAGGAAAAAAATTATTAAGAAAATTTATTTCATTTTACATGCGTATATACATAAAAATACTTCAATTATAATTTATTATTGCTGTAGTATATACTAGAATGACAAAACATCATGCGCAACTAATAAAACATTAATAAATCCATAATATTTCTCAGCATTTTTGATTCACAATATGTTTAGCACGGATATGCACCAAAATCGGTCGTTTTATCATGGCATTAAAAAGTGAATTTGCCCATGTAGTTCCGCCGGCTCTAAAATGGATCTAGTTAGCGCCACTGTATTAGTTAGGAAAACGGTCTCATAAAAAAACGGCGTGGCCCTTCTCAGTTTTCTCTCTGCTGTAATTCAAGTGAAGGTGAAAATTACAAAAATGAGCGAATTTATTAGGTTTGGATTAACGAAATTATATATTTTCCAGTAAATTCGCTCATTTTTATAATTTTTAAAATTACGGATGTTATTAAATCCGATTAAAAGTGACGTATGAACGTAGTCATAAAGAAGAAAATAAAGAACCAATCAGGACAAAGGGAAAAAAATTTGTTTCTCGTGATTGGTCAGCCAAATGTTTCGTGCTTTTATCTCATCAAATAGAATGCATCTTCTATGTAATAATCTTCTATGATTGTCTCAGTTCATCGCATCATTCCGCGCCACTTTTGTTTAGTTTTGAACAACAATAGTTTTGAATTCGTAAACCGTCTCGCGAGTTTAAAGTTGATAGTGTGTAGTGTGATTTGATTGTTTGCGATTTCTGAATTCTAAGGAAAATCTATTGCTGCTTCGAGATAAATCTTACGTTTATTTGCGCTTGTGTTTATCTCCAGCTCCAGTAAGTACTCTATTTACATCATCAGTCTGCTTTTTTTAGCTGTCGTACCTTTTTAGTTTTTTACTTCTATAAATCTTAATTATATATATTTATTTCGTTTTTAATACGGAAAATATAATATACTATACAATCTAAAGAAACACACACAGACTCTTATGTCATGTGCGACTGACAAACATAACCTAATTGACATATATCTTAACTTTACATATAGAAATCAGTTATGACATGTTCTTATTTTATTAAGGAATATTTTATATATAGGTTGCAAATGAAATATTAACATCAGAATATATTTTTGTTTTTTTTGTTTTTTTCTTAAACTCTCGGAATCATATAACAGTTCAGTATAATGATCGCTAAGGTAGTGCTGAAAAAGTAAATATACATTTTTTATTTGAGGAATGTTTTGCTTTTCAAGTAAAATATGTACAACGCGTTAGCTAATTACTAAATAAAAATATCGATATATTTAGCAAAAAAAGAATATATACATATAACATATGAAAATAAAGATAAACTATAAATTTGTTTTAAAATATCTATAGCATAGCTATGTACAGGATGTCCCATCAGAAAACTGAATTATCAGAATATTTAATTTACTTTTCTTTGTAGCTGTGACAATATGAGAAAAATATTCCAGATTCAATTTATACAGCTTCAAAAAGCTAAGGATCTAAAACATTTCTCTATATCATTACAGCTAAAGGAAATAATTGTTTCCGTTTTTGGTGGCATTGTGTAAAGTCTTTTCCAACAAAAATATATTTTCTTGCATATATAGAATTTTAATCATTTTTATATTAAATCTCGTAATCTTTCAATAATTCTGTAGCTATTAATAAGTGGGTTGTAAATTGTTTGCAAAATTTAAAAAAAAAAAAAAAGTAAAATATGGGGAAAAAAGTTGTTATTTTCTTGATTTCTATGTTTCATTCTAATAATTTTGGAAGTTGAAAGATAAATGCTCTATCAAAACCGATAATGTATAGAATTTTTTATATTAAATCTCGTAATCTTTCAATAATTCTGTAGCTATTAATAAGTGGGTTGTAAATTGTTTGCAAAATTTAAAAAAAAAAAAAAGTAGAATATGGAGAAAATAGTTGTTATTTTCTTGATTTCTATGTTTCATTCTAATAATTTTGGAAGTTGAAAGATAAATGCTCTATCAAAACCGATAATGTGCTTTCGATAAAGCGTTCGATATACATGCAAGCGTTACACTTAACAGTTTACTCAAGCAATAGAGGATTTTTTACATCTAAAGACGATTAACACAGGCCTCCCTCGTATTCGTCTTCATCCTCCTCTTTTTGCGCCGGTTGCGATTGTGGCGGTGGTGCAACTTCCGGTTTCTTTTCAATCACTTCTTTCGTTGACTGATTAGTCACATCGACATCGTTCTTTTCCTAGAAAATTAATAAGTGTCATTGATGTAATAGTGAAATAATGAATAATCAGAGATTATAATGAAATAATGTGTGCGAATGATAATAAAATATAATAATGAAACACACATTAACTTGCGCTTCGATGGTAGCTTGTTCAGTGGGTTTGGACACGTTGGGAGAAACGTAGGATTCCGCGGCGTTAGCCCTTATTCCAGCGGGCGGAACTGCGTATTCTTGTTGCGGCAAGGCCAATCCTCGCGCTAGCTTAGCATATTCTACATCCATGTGCTTGATAAAGGGGCTATTAAGGGCCGCCCGAGCTGCATTTGCATCCTCGTTGTCGTACGCTTGCAATAACATCTCCAATGTTTGTACCTGGATCAGAAAATCGTATTCTCTAATTTAATTAAGAAAGATCAATTGGTTATATTATAATAAGATTAGAAAGAAAGATTACATTAATTGAAATGACTTTCTCACATGTTTTTGTTACTCAGTTAAATAATTATTTTTCTGGCTTACTTCGGGAGGTTCGCAGTAGTTTCCCCATTCTTTGAAAGCCTTCTCGGCCGCCACTTGATCGCCCCGCGCCAATTGCACTAGCACCAGAGCTACAGTGAGTCTCCCAAGTGATTGCCAAAGCTTTATTTCTTGATACATGCCAATTTCGCGACGTATCGCGTCCGCCGCCTCATCATACATTTGCAGCTTCACCAGTAATCTCGCGGCTTTGCTCATATATTCCGCTGCGTGCCGCGGACTATCTTCGCCCTGAACAAATATTTTCCACCTTTTTTCAAACCTTTAAAAGCTTCTTATGATTTGCTATGTAATTTTAATTAAGAACTCTCTTTAGAAAAAAAATCCTGTCTCTTTTTTCTGTTTAACGTTCTCAAAACTCTTGAATTCTTAGAATTTCAAAAAAATTTTTATTTCCCAAGATAGTTTAAATTTTTTTTAAATTCTCAACATTTTTAAGATTTTCTCTCTCTCGTGAAACTTTCAAAATCTTTAAAATTATATATCTATGTAAATGAATTTTATACAATCTCTTTTTTTTATATATATAATCGAAGTTTTTACAGGTTTATAACTAAATTTATTTATTATTAATTTTTGCATTTTATATGTGTATATATATTTATATACATATATCTGTATTTATGTAATATAGAGCATGTTTGTATGTAGTGGTTGTGGCTGCTTACCATGATTATGTCAGCTGCACGTTTAAACAGTTCTAGAGCCTGCTTAGGCTGTGTAGCTTCTAGCATCTTGGCCGCCTTGTCGAGGGCGGTTACGCCAGATTCAGGAGAACCGTGTTGCTGAAAAAGAGTGCAAGCACTATGAGCTAGTTTCGATATCTCTGAAAGATCCCCCATTTCTCTGCAGATGAGCAGAGCTTGTTCAATGCTCCTGAAAACATTGCATTTATATAATATCAAAATATATTGCACGACAAAATTTAAGTTTTTTTATACATACTTTGCTGCATGGAACCATCTATATTACGATTAAATTGTAGTTAAGGAGAATTAAAGAAAATATAGTGTCGACAAAATGATATTTTCTTGATTTAGGAAAAAAGTTAGAAAAAAAAACATTATAAGTTGATGAAAAAAAATTCATTAATTTTTCTTTCACATAATTCTTTCTCTTACAAATAAAGTTAATATAATATAAAACGAAATAAAAAAAATAAAAAAATAACAATTCTGTATTGATATATTCATGCTTTATTAAAGTAATGAAATAAAACAAAGAATATAACAAACGAAATTTTTGAATCCAATATATTATCAAATATTTATCAATACAAGATTGAGGAATTTGAAATATTTGTTTATACGATTTCAAAGGATACGCTTTGGTTTGTTTGTAACAATTAGCTGCTTTCACCAAACAATCTTTGCATTGCGCATATGACTTGGCTATTCGAAAGCACGTTGCTAGAGTGGAAAAATGGGAAAAACGTAATTTTAACTGCAAAATTTTTAAGCAATTAATGCTTCGTTATTTGGTGCAAAATTTTGAAATAACTGATTTAAATCTTCAAATGAGACTTTTAATAAATAGTTTAATACATTTAAGTTACCTATGATTTCTTAAAACTTAATTTTAAAAAATTATTGATTTATTACATGTTTTAGTATTATTTTGTTGTAATTATATTTTTCTTATTTTTACAATTACAATATTTAATATTGTGTACCTGCATGTGAGTATTCCTCAGCTGCCACTTCATAATCGGGTCGCCATTTCAAAAGAGTAGGTTTTAAGCTACAAAAAAAAATTTAATATGTAAACTTCCAAATACGGTGTAATCTGATTATGTTCGATTCGAAAAATGTAATCTTAACAAAATATTGTCACAATCGGTAAATCGATTCTTACGCATTATTTCTTTCTCACTCATACTATTTTTTGTTATACTAGATTTATATATATAATTGTCAATATAATATAATCTAATACAGGAACGTCTATATATTCGCACTTTAAAATTTAATAATTTTAAGACTACGAAATGTATGATTCCAGAAAAGAATCAAAGAAAGATCTCCGAGTGAGATGGAAATATTTGCGAGAGAAAGAGAGCGAAATGCTTACGCTTTTTCAGCCTGCCGTATATGTTCGTTCGCCTCCTCGATTTTTGACATTTTTCTCCGTATGGTGCCTCGTTTTCTTCTGATCAGACACAATGGCGACGAAATTATATGTCGCGATCTTGAAATTATGTATGTCAGTTCTGAAACACGGAATTATTCACACTCTTCCGTCAAGGCACTGTATATATTCATGCATACAGACTGATACAGACGCTGAAACTAATCTTTACACTTCTCGTTCATAAAGACGACGTTTTCGAGATTGCGAAGCGTATAATCAATTATCTCTCGTAGTTATACAACCTAACCTAACCTAACACAACGTAACGTAACCTCGAACGTGATTGGTTCTTGCCGCTATAGATTCAGCAAATTAGCTTCAGGTATTACAAGACGCTGAATGGCCGCGTTCAGCAGAGAAAGCGCTCAGTTATCGTCTTGTCAACACTTGACGTTGATTTCATGGAGCAAAGTAGTATTTAATCAGATCAATCAGGACAATGGAATTTTTCCTCCTTTTGTCCTGATTGGTCAAAATATACACCAATCGGGGCGTAAAGGTGCCATTACATGGCAGCATCGAGCATCGATCGTTTGCGCAGAAATCATTGCGCAGGAATCTAAATGAGATAGATTCCAGCTTTTTGCGGCTAATAGCATGATAAAAGTAAGAACCAATCACATTCGATTGCTACTAAGCGGTTTTCTCTGCTGAACGCGGCCAACGTATCCATCGAATCGTTAAAATTGTACTCCTTTACGCCGTCTTCATTCGATTATTTCACGTCTATTTTTTTGTTGTGTCTATCATTTCATTTAAATTTTTCTCGGACATATAATTGCGCATTCGATAAAAATGTAACTATTGTATTTTGCCGTTTCGCAAATGTATCTTCTAATTTTACCAAGTTTGCTCTCACGTTGATTCCTATTATATTTATACACAGTGAAACTGTTTCGTTTTTTGTACAGACTGTAATCTTTTCATAGAACTCGCTGGCGGGAAAGATCTAACCTCGAAGTCTTTGATAGATAAATTCTAATATATTTTTCAGATCAAGGTAATAATAATAATTTCTATTGTAATTTTCTTTTACATTTTTTATAATTATTATTCTGTAATTTTCTTTGTGTAATTCTTTTACACTTTTAGAAATTTTATTGTCGTTTACAAAAAGTAACCTGAAAAAAGAACATCATACTAATCTTATATTTTTGTTTCTGTTTTTTAAATATATTTACATGTATTTTACGATATTGTATTATAAAACAATAATTTACTAAATGTAAATTATATTTGTATTGTAATTTTGCATTGCATTACGTCATACATGTTAATTTTATTTTAGATTATATTTTTTTCGCATTTTCGAATATCACAATAGTTGCACAAATTTATAAAATTGCAATATCTTACAATGTTAGATGTCTAAGATTTAAAACATGTATGAACGATAATCAGATGGCCGAGCGATTAGAAGATCTGAACCTGCCCAATGCAGTTGTAACAAGAATCATCAAGGAAGCTTTACCGGATGGAGTGACAGTTGGAAAGGATGCTAGAACAGCGGTAGCAAAGGCTGCGTCTATTTTTATACTCTATCTCACATCATCTGCTAATATAATAGCCAAGAAAGGCAACCGCAAAACCATCAGTGGACAAGATGTGATTCAAGCGATGGTGGATATTGAGTTTGATCAATTTGTTGATCCGCTACAGGAATCTCTAGAAAACTTTAGAAAAGTTCAAAAAGAGAAAAAGGATGCAACATCAAAAAAGAAGCAACAAAAGAGAGATGAGGATGATATGAATGGTGAAGATGAAGAAACAGGGAGAGAAATTACAGTTTTCTAAGAAATAAGTTTATTATATTAGCTAGGTTTATAAGTGTAACCATATTGTTAGTTTAATTTAATAGAGTAATAATTTGATATTTATAAAAAAATTAAATCGTCCAACGTAAAAAAAATAAAAACAAATGCACTAAAGCAAATTTTTAAAAAAATTAATATTTATTTCATTTGTTTGATAATTTTATATATATATACAATATATATTTTTTAATGATACATGATACATTTTAATGGATACATTTTAAGATAATTATAATATAATTAATTTAGCTTAAGATATTGATGCGAAAGGAAATTGGGTTATTCATTTAAAAACTGCAGAAAAAAACAATGACATGCACAAACGAATTTTATTATATTATTTAACAGGAATTTTTTTCAAGACCAAAATTGTGTTGACAATGTTAATATTTGCATAAAAAAGTGAAATTCAAATTGTATTGATTTAAAACTGTTCCCACATAGAAATAATCACACATTTATATAAAAATTTCGTCGTAAAAATTAGTTATTATCAAAGCTTGTTATATACTCTGGTTTTTCATTTCTTTTCTTGCACTCCATTATTAACAAATTTTATACTTCATCATCGCTCTCTCTCAAATATATATTTCTAATTTTTTATATATTCTGTAGACTACAAGGATATGTTCGCAATTTATATATAATAATTATAGTATGTAAAATGTCAGGTATTATATGAATGCGAAATATGTCTAATCTGCAGCTTTAAATAGTTTTAATTTTTAATTTTTTTCTCTGTATTTCCAATTTTAAAATTTGATATATCTAGGTAATTTTTTAAAAACACTAAATTTTTTCTTTTTTTTTAAATACATTTTTAAAATATTAAATACTTTTTTTAAAGAAAAAAAAAAAAAGAAAAAAAAGGAACTCAATAATTTTTAGTCATATATAATATTGGTATATTTTCTATATATATATACACATACCAAGTATTTCATTTTATTGGTAACAGCTACATATTTTGTTAACTTGAGGTCTCATGCTGCTGCTTCCAATAAAATGGGATGCCATGTATATATGGAATCGACATTAACATGAGCATTATATTACCAATGGTAAATATAATTGTGCGCATTATAAATAGCTATTATCGAAACATTTCGTTCGCGTGCGCGTGTGTGTAATCACAGTCGAGAAAGAATGGCGCATTATTTTCATACCTTTGAAGAACATCAAATTGAATTCGGGAATAAACTGAATAAAATTGAATTTAAGGCTGCACGACTCGAACTTTGCGTTCTATTGGACTCCTGCACATTGGACATCCTGCAAAAACTTTGTCCGCACAAGTAGAGCAACAGCAGAGATGTCCACAAGGTAGAAAAATGACATCACACTACAAAAAGAGTTTAATAGAGACAATATTCATCAATTATAATATAGTGACGACATTTTTTTATTGATATCCTAAAATTATACATACGAACAAATATATATATACAGGGTGTTCAACCGTATCATCTCGTATACAGGTAAAGTGCGTGAAACCAAGGAGAAAAATGGTAACGACTTTTCTTCTCGGTTTCACCTGCTCTACCTGCACATGAGAGGTGATACGGTTATTATAGAGCACTCTGTATATTTGTTCCCGCGCACGCGCGTGAAATTATGTATTTTATATTTATTTATAAATAATTGAAGAAAAACATACTTGCAAATCGAAGCAAATTACGCATTCCATCATATTCTGAACAAAATTGCAGTTCTGATTGCTGGTCGACGCTTCTTCGAGAGGCGCGGAAGGCATTATGGGCGATGTGGATTCATTTAGTTTCATTTCTGTCAGATAATTTTCAACTGCTAGCATTATAGCAGCACGATCTCTATCGCAACTTATGCCCATCTACAAAACAAAAATTAAATAATAATTAAAATGTACAATAAATCTTAAGTTTTATGTTTATAATGTATTGCAAATAGACATGAAAATCACTCAAATTTCAAATTCTCAACATTTATAATCCAAAGATTTAACAATTTTAAAATAAAAGTATAATAAATATTAAATCCAAATTAATCAAATTTGAAAATTTACTGAATTTATTGATCGAAAATCTAAATCTATAAAAATTCAAATTTGATTTTTTTTGAATCTATAAATCTCGCAATTTGTGATAAACATTTAATTGCGAAGAATTTAAATCTAAAAGACAAAATATATTCTGAAATTTCCTGATTTTTATATTTAAAGAAAATTTAATTTTAAATATATTATTATATATTGTGAACTCTATGTGTATAGGTTATTCTTTATATTATTAAATTGTTCCAAGAGTTACGTACATCTTTTAATTGTTCATCGCTAATGTTTGGTAACAAAGACGGCAATGTGGCCAGAAATGGAAGGCAGTGCAAAGCTTCTGCTATCGCTACATGTCGAACTAGCATAGGTTCCAACATCTCCAGTAATCCTTGTGGTCGTGCTTCCATTAGAGACTGATACTGCATTAGCCAGAACAAACTGCCTCGCCTCGCATTCTACCAAAATTTGTTATATATTATTATTAATAAATATTTTTTAATGAAACCTCATTCTCAATTTTATTAATATTTTTTTAGTCTCATGTAAAAGGAACTGATTAGTGAAGATTAAATGATCTAACAGAATGTAAAAACACAAGGCTAATATATATAAGCTATTTTTTGTAAAATATTTAAAAAAAAAGAAGAAAAATTTTCTTTATTGAGAATTTAGAAAAGAAAAGAAAAACATATATACGGAGATGCATCGCTGCTGCTCTATCGTATTAATTGTTTCCAATAGTTGGTCTCTCCTGTTCTTTTGCTGTTCCAATAAGTCAATCAGAATAGCTGTTAGAGCCACGCGTCTATCAGCGATCTCATTCTAAAAAAGAAAAAAAAACGCTTTATCACATAATTATATTTTAAATATTTATGAACTCGAAAAATTTAGAAAAACTTTTTCTTTAGTTTTTATTTAATACTTAACTAGAAACTACACACTTACAAGCTGCTGGTTGATCTCCAATTTCCTTCTTTCGAACTCGATGTTTGTGAGCGCGGCCAATTGCGACTGGACTAGATTCACTTGCTGAACAATGCTCCAGGTACGCGCATCACTGCGTTCTAATAACGCAGCGACTGCCGCTTTCTGTAAAACTTCGTCCTGTCGCAATCTATCAATGAGATCTTGCCTACTTTTTTCTTGATCTTGCACTATCTGCGCCAAATGGTCGTTGTTCCTTACCTCCCTGAAATAATTTTCCTGAATCTTATTTTTAATCATATCAATTCATTTTTTTCTTATATAATACTTTCATACAAGTAATTCATAGAAGAAAACAAAATCAACAGAGATATAACAAACAATTAAGATTTTATTTTTGCTGATTACTTATTTTTCACTTTCAAAAAGCAAAGCGAGTTTACAATTTATACTGACATTGTAAGCAAGGATTGCGTTGTGTAATCTCTATATTTAGTATGCTCTTCCAGTTTCCTCGCTTTGCACATTTCTTCTTCCAACAATTTCTCCATTGCAACTGCAAAAACAAATCTGACATATGTATGATATATGGACAATTTTAATTTCGTGTATTTTTATGTGCTCAATATTTACAAAGAGTATCCTTCATACGTAGCATGGACTGTTCTGAGTGGCAAGAGCTTAACAATTGCATTTCTTCCTGCTTCTCCCGTTCCAATAATTCAGCTTGACTTTGCTTTTCTTCTTCACTATTTCTTAGAAATTCTTTAATTACATTATCAGCTTCTTTTTCAGCTAAAAGGAAAAGTTTATTTAATATTTACTTCTTTTCATATTTAATAAATTGTACAGTTTATGCGAAATTTTTGTTAAAGATAAATGCTAAAATTGTACCATTATAAACGTATGAAAGCAAACGCGCTCTATTTGTGTCTCTTTCTTGCTGCACTTTCTCAAGTTCTTGTTCCAGTTGTATCTGTTGTAATGCTAGATCCTTCAGAAGCTGAAAAGCACAAAGAAAATAGTTTCTGAAGTTTTGAGTTTCTTTTATATCTGCATTTGTGTAGATAACATTTAATAATATTAATAATCATAAAAACATGTATAGTATATATCATTTTATCAATTTTAAAAGTTTTAATTATGAATTAATTCTGATATATTTCGGAAGTCGGGATGACTCTGTATGCTTTTGTAATTTTCTTATCAAACATACAACATTAGACATATTGATTTATCTTTTAATTAGATTTCTCTTTTAGAATTTCAGATTGTATGAGATATACAGATACTAAAAAATATAATTATTACCATATATGTATTTTATATATATATATAAAATTTATTCTCGACAGGAACATCGGCAAAATGCCTTGTTGGAAGTGGAGAGAAACATAAAACAGCAGCAAGAATATGAAATGGAAGTGCAATCCATGCTGAAAGTTCATAAAAAGAAGGTAATTAAAAAATATCATAGATTATTAATCTATTGCTAACACAATTAAATTTTTGTTAAAGATCATATTATATATATATATATATATATATATATATATATATATATATATATATATATATATATATATATATATATATATATATATATATATATATATATATATATATATATATATATATATATATATATATATATATATATATATATATATATATATATATATATATATATATATATATATATATATATATAATATGATCTTTAACAAAAATTTAATTGTGTTAGCAATAGATTAATAATCTATGATATTTTTTAATTACCTTCTTTTTATGAACTTTCAGCATGGATTGCACTTCCATTTCATATTCTTGCTGCTGTTTTATGTTTCTCTCCACTTCCAACAAGGCATTTTGCCGATGTTCCTGTCGAGAATAAATTTTATTGTCACGGTATTATCATATAATATCGAAACATATATTGAGCTGATAAAATCATATATTCGTTTTTCCACATATATAGATTCTTATTTCAGTAAAATGAAAGAAACGAATAAATTTTTTTATCAGCCTAATACAATTAAGATCTTTATGGAATTAAAAATTAACAATGGATTTTTTTAATGCTTACTTAAAAGAGATAAAGGAAAAAAGTAAATTAAATGAGAAAAATGTAAATATATAATATAATATAATACTAGAGAATATATGATATATAATATGATATTGTATAGAGAAGAAATAGTACACAGAATATTCAAAAAATAGTATAAAAAGCATAAATGGAAACATAATTAGCATTTTACCAATGAAATTAATAATTGATCATATAAATAAGATGCTCAGTGCATTTGTCCAAAAAATAAAGATAATTAAATAATGATTTTCTTTAGTTATAAAGAATTGTGTAATATGTGAATCTTTCTTGGTCAAGTTTTTTCTTTATTTGATTAATTTATTTACTTTCTATTGGATTGTTACTGCACTGAGCATCATTAAAAAAAATCAGTTTTCTAATAAATATTAATAAAATAAATTGATAACAAGTGGGAAGCATACGAAACTCAAAGAAGCATCCAACATGCCTTCATTTTGTCTAGTTTCTGTAATGTTGCCTAAAAGAGAAAAAAAAGGAATGGTGAATATGCGCAAACAGCAAAAGCACATTATGAATTAATTATAAGTACTGACAACATTGATCAACTTAACAATAAAACATGAAGTATAAAACATGAATGAAAAGAAAGAGAAGACATAACACATTTAAAAATAAATGTTTATAGCTTATATGTTCACATAGAAAGATATATATGTATGTATATATATATATATATACTCTTATTGTGATGTATTGTTTGCATGTCATCTGAGCTTATATCCCTCGAAATATCGTTCTCTGATATCGAAGTTTCGGGCGAGTAGTCGATTCCATTTTCGTTCGCCAAAAATGCAATAATCACTATCGTGCCACCGTCTAAGATATCTTGAGGTGGATACGATAGTTTCAAACCATCAATATTTAGATTTGTCAATTGCTGAGCATAGCCCAGGGATACAGGCAGTTTTTGCAATGATTTATTATGGCTAATATTAAGAGTGGTGAGTTGTTTTTGCAATTGCCCGATGCCATTAGGCATTTGTTTCAGGTTGTTCCTCGAGACATTCAAAATTGTTAATTTACTCAAGTACATTATCTCATTGGGCAGTTTGCGAAGGCTGTTATCTTGCAAATAGAGCTCCTAAAAAAAATCACTATATACTTTAGTATCACTGAGATATCATATACAATAGTATATGATATAGTATTTTATATTGTCAGAAGGATTCTACATAATACTATCTTTTCTTTATATATTATTTTTGTCGTAAAAACTATATAGGGAACAAACAATAAAAACTTTCTGATCAATAAGAAATACACCTTGAGAGAAGAGAGACACATAATATCGGAGGGTAATGTTGTAAACTCGTTCCCATGAATATCTAAAACAGTCAGCAGCGACAAGTCACTTAAGGCACCTCCGCCCGAGAGTGAGCTCAGCTTGTTGTCGTACATTAGTAAGATTTCTTTCCGAAACACCTTGCAGAGTGAATAGATACCCGATGGCACATGCTTCAAGGCACATTCCGACACGTCAAATGTTGGCTCTGGATTTTCTCTGGCCTTTAAATTATAATACACACAGAAATGAAATATTTGGTGTCTTAAGAAGCCAATGTGCTAAGACTTCTCAACATTTTCGTAATCAAAGTTGGAAAAGTTCGCTCCCAAAACATGCAGCCATTAATGTTAATGATATATAACTATATAATAAATGTTATATATATCATTAATAATAATTATATTATATATTAAATATAGAATATAAAAAGAGAAAATAAAGAAATATATATCAAATAAAAAATTGATATATATCTTTCATCAGGATTTTGCAGTTGTGCTAACTTAAAATTTCTTTTAACATTTACAAATTATCTACATTTTGTTATCCATAATACTATTGTTATCTATATATTTATTATTTATTATGTAATGGTACTTATATAATTAGTAATAGAGTGTGATTGATACACTATTTGAGTTCTAATTAATTAGTCGTTATCAAGGTACTTCTAATTGGTTATTTGATCTGAACTATGGTCGTCCTAACCTAAAATTCATAAATACATACATACCAAATACAATTTGTACTCGAGCCGCGCCTTGTAGTCAATGTTAGCTTTACTCTCGTGCTTCCTCGACATCCTTGCTCGCATCCGTTGTCATGACAAGGAGGCGGGCAAAAATCTCATTTCGCGAGACTGACACAATGATAAGCGGTGAATATGATGATAACTGATAATGTTTATATGCTTTATACACGATTACGCGATTAGGGTGCATTCGGAAATATTCCCTATGGAGCAGAGCATAATGTAAGAAAATATTTTTTATTTTTTATAAAAATATAAAATATTAATATATAATATTAATATATAATATTTTATATTTATATTTTATTCTTTTTATATTTTTATCTTTTTTTACATCATGGAGCAAAGTAGTATTTAATCAGATCAATCAGGACAATGGAATTTTTCCTCCTTTTGTCCTGATTGGTCAAAATATACACCAATCGGGGCGTAAAGGTGCCATTACATGGCAACAATATTCTGCGCAGACGCTTAACGCTCGACGCTTGACGCTGCCATGTAAAGGCACCTTAATCACGTGACGGTAAACAGATGACAGCTTCGTGTGCGCATCTACGTTCGCGCAAGTGCATAGCAATTGGGCAGTTCGTACTTGAACTTCGCTTGGTAAAAGAGCGGTATTGCATCTCGGTTTAACGGCAGAAATTTTTATATTTACATTCATCGCATCGAGTCCGTTGCGATCCGTGAACGGGAGCAGAGGTGTTTAAACACGATATATAAAGCATATTCTTTATTAGAAGTTAATTTGTGTGTTTGTTGATCCAAGATCAAAAGAAATTAATTGATGGCCGTATGGTTAACCCTATTTTATTCAACCGAACCTCTAATTCGGAAGAAGAAGAAAAAGAAATTTTACATCAATATGAGGAAACAAGTTCAAATTTGGTTTTAATCGGTGAGCATGATTGTTTTTGATATTCATTTTGCGTTAATTATATAGCGAATGTGTCTTATTAAGGCATATTTTTCATTCTTCATAAATTTATATATGGATACATGCATGTGTACATTGTTTTACATATACAAAGGAAAATATTCACATATTTCGTAGAAAACAATAAAAAGGGAGCATATTTCATTGTACGAGACGATAAATTCTGTTTTTTTTTAATATAGTTGCATCTTCTATACTTTTCTTTCTTTTTTTTCTCTAATTTCTAAATATATATATTTATCTTATTATTAATGCAGAAAAATTGTAATTAAAAGAACAGACAATTTCTTTGGATTTATGAAATACATTGCTATATTTTTACATGTTAAAAATGTTCTAATACTATTCGGAATAATTTGAAAATAATTCAAAAAAGAAAACTGTGTGTATTTTGTGTATAGGGAAATCAAGAAAAAAACAGTAGAACTTTATTTAAAGCTTGATAATTCGATTGCGGCTATTTTTTCATCGAATGTGCAATTTATTATTATTAGTAATTATTATTATTAAAATGTCACTTATTCGACTTTAATAATAATAATAATAGTCTACTTGATATCCAATTATTATATTTTAATTTTATGTGTGTATAATTTCTATACATAACTTTTTTAATCATAAAAATATTATAATTTATA